TGTCCATAGACTGCAGTAGCCACTTACCATCAGGTGGTCAGTAAGTCAGTTTGTCACTTCAGTTTTATTAAAAATAATATTATTCAGTACCGATCGGGGATAAAACTTAGATGCGAAAAGTCTGTTGGTGCGACAGTCGCATATTACCTACTTACATTTATCCTCATCAAGTCAATCAATCAATGTCATAGTAGTTGATTTTTACAAATGAATGATGACAACGAGGACTCGAGAACTATGAACCTTATAAATATTTTATTAATTAAGCTTCTCCGTTCATATATAACTTTCTCTAGTATATACCGTATGTTTCGTAACGATATTTTAAATTATAATCAATAATATGCCTTTTTAAGCTACAAAAAAATACATATTACTAAAAATAAAAAAAACAACCGCAAAAATTTACATAAATTTATTGTATAAATGAGATTATGATAAGCAAATCAAGGCATAAAATTTGGATTTCGTGTTTTATAACAGAACACTATAACATGAATAGTTAACTAGTTAGATTATAACTAGATCGTATGACTTTTTTCTAGTGTTATTGTAATCCGAAACCAGACCTGTACGCAAAAAATACATATTCTTTGCTAATTTTCTGCAACAGTGCCTCAATAATGGTGTCAAATGCAAAATATGGATACCGTGATGTAATCAATTTACAGGGAGCGACATAGACCTTTTCAAAGTCAATTGCCATCTAGAGGAGTGACATACATACTTTAAAAAAAAGTTGAATATGGGCCGCTCGCGTTATAAGAAGTATTTGCCTTATACGTCACGCTTGGCACGCGTATTGACGATCACCATACCAAACCTGTTATTCTTACATCTCTGACGCTACTAACCGTCGCTTGTAGGTACTTTACGTCTGGCGAAAAAGTTGGTTATATCGTCATTTATAAAAAGCCATGAGATCTTTTTGGCATTTCCCATAGTCACCTGTTACGACACCTCATTGTTACATTTATTATTAATAATAACAAAGTCCTTAGTTAATAATAAATGTGTGGTAAAAAAGCGTATAAAAGAACCTATCGTCCCTTCTTGCTCCGCGAGGGTCGTAAGAATTGACTATAGAACATTCCAGAAGGGTGTTATGTCCATTTATTTCAAATATTCTAGATATTTATTAACTAGACGGGCAGCAGCCTGGAAGATGCACTATAAAATTAAACTATTTTACTTCAACTTTATACTTGAATTTTCTCAAGCTCTTATCACTTGTTACTTTGTTAGTAGGCCAACGAGTTTTTAAACCCAAATCGATAAGGCATACGCTCAGGTAGGTTGCAGTCAATTTTCGCTTTCTTTTGACTTTAAACTTTAACTTTAATTGAATGACAAAACATCACAATTAATTACTAAGTTTTAAATAGACTTTACTTTCGCTGAGCTATAATATAGTACACATGCAAATTTTCACTATCTCTATCACTGAAAGAAAGATATAAGCTGCAGAAAGTATCATACGAAAACATTAATTGAAGAAGTGCGTGAAAGGTGTAGAATGGAAGCGGACGAAAGGTTGTCGCACAACTTTAAAGAGAACTCTAAACTCTTCTGGTTGGAAGAAGTTGGAAGGACCCGAAGTGGTGCGACGGCCTTAAGAATGAACAAAGTGCTTTCGAGAACCAATGACATCCTCCCAAAAAAATCGGACGTCATGCAGCGATGGAGCGAATTTTATAGAGAAATGTATGCCTGTGATGATCTTAGTGAGGGATCCGGGGGTGACGCCGTGACTGGTACGCCAGACCCGGACCTCGATAACACTGAGGTCATCAGTATGAAAGAGATTGAACGTGCGATTCGAAGTTTGAAATGTGGTAAGGCTACGGGACTAGACAGAGTTACTGCTGAAATGGTCAAGTATGGTGGGCCTCGCGTCTGGGACAGCTTTCATCTGCTGTGCAATTTGTGCTGGCGGACGGGGGATGTCCCGGATGATTGGCGATCCGCAGTCATTGTGCTTTTATATAAAGGTAAAGGTTCACATTTTGACTGCGGGTGCTATCGGGCGATCAGCTTGACCAGTTTAGCAAGTAAAGTTTACTCGAAGGTTTTGACACGTAGGATGCAAGAATTTCTCTTGGAAAGATTGGATTGGAAAGATTTCTATGGGAGGCACAATGCGGATTTAGACCTGGAAGAGGATGCACGGATCAAATGTTTTCTCTCCGCATGATCACGGAGAAGCTTCTGGCTGCTAACCAGAAGATTTTCTGTGCTTTTGTGGATCTTGAGAAAGCATTTGATAAGGTTGTAAGGAAGAAAATGTGGGAACTGTGGGGACTGGGTATGGTGTGGATGGTAGATTGCTAAGGGCTGTGCAGTCACTTTACTGTGACTGTAAAGCCTGTGTGCGGGTAGGGCATGACCTGTCACCCATGTTTAGCGTCCAAACGGGCGTAAAACAGGGTTGTGTCATGTCTTCCTGGCTGTTTATACTGTATCTCGACAGCTGTTTACAGAAGCTGAAAGATAGCCGTTTGGGTGTGAAATTGGGTGACATTAAAGTAAATTGTCTGCTGTATGCTGATGATGCAGTGCTTATTGCACCATCAGAGGCAGAACTGCAGGCATTAGTCACGTGTATGGAAGAGGAATGTGAAATTAAAGGTCTCCGTTTGAATGCTAATAAAACTAAGGTTCTGGTATTTGAAAGGGACGAAGAGAGAACGAAGTGTGATATATGGGTAAATCAGGAATGTCTAGAACAGGTGAATGAAATTGTATACTTAGGGAGTGCTTTCAGCCGGGATGGAAGATGTGATTTAGATGTGGACAGGCGTGTTGCTGCCGGGAACAAAGTCAATGGTGCCCTGACTGCGTTAGTCAAAAGGCAAGGCGTAGCGAAGAGTGCACGCCTTGCAATAAATAACGCAATGTTGGTACCGACTTTGTTATATGGCAGCGAAACCTGGGTATGCCAGAAGAAGCATAAAAGCAAGTTGAATGCAGTGGAGATGCGATCTCTTCGTAAAATGTGCGGCGTTACCATGGCCGACCGAAAGCGAAACGAAGATATTCGCAATATGGCAGGTTTGAAAGATGACCTTATCAAAAATTGATAAGGGCGTGCTTCGATGGTTTGGGCACGTTGAGCGAATGAGTGAAGACTGAATGGTGAAGAAAATATATAGCGTGAAAGTTAATATTAAAAGGTGTCGAGGTAGACCGAGACTAACTTTCGAAGACCATCTGAGCAAATTGCTCGAAGAGGGGAGGGTCAAGAGTACTCGGATACCTAGACGTGCATGTATGAAGAAGATAATGAATCTGAAAGAAGCGAAAGAGGTATGTAAGGATCGTGACACTTGGCGATCTGTTCTCTCTGGCTACCCCGTCAGGGATTGTGCGTGAAGATAAGTAAAAGTAAAGTAAACTATCACTACAGCCTTTAAAATCTTCCCCATGGATTGACTCATTAGGGGAAGTACTTGACATATTTGCCACGCTTGGCAGGCAGGTTGGCAACCTTAATTATTTTTATTTCCTGGTTGTTATTAGGAAGATGCAGCTGTCCATCTCATGGTTTGTTTCCCTGTGTCACATTTCCCTTTGTTGTCTCTTAAGACACTAATGGTACGACATGCTAATCTATAAAAATAAATAAAATTGAAGTGTCTGTTTGTAATGTCAAAATTACAGCTTTTTACTAAATGCATATGAAAGTATATACCAAAGAGAATATAACCACTAGTATATACGGTACTAATAACAAAAATACAATTTTTAAAGTTTTTGTCTGTGTATCTGTCCGTCTATCCGATTTTGACGAGATTTTCACTGGCAGATAGTTGATGTCACAAGAAGTAACTTAGGCTACTTTTATTTTGGAAAAAGAATTAGGGTTCCGAGCAAAAAAAAAATACCCCACATAACACGCGGGCGAAGTCGCCGGGAACAGCTAGTAAATAATATGAGTTGTAAATTTATTATGTTAATTACAAATGTATATGTTAATAACCTTTATACATACACATTGTTTGTCCGCGATGAACTCCGAAAGCACTCAACAGATTTTAATGAAATTTTGTAAATGTGTATTGCTTGCTCCAACTTGAGAGATAGGATAGTTTTTATCCCGCTAAGTGACCCTTTTAATTTTATTTTGCTTTTTTTATTTTTTTGCGAATTTACGAAATTTTTATAGGAAGAGTCGTCGGAAAGGGCAGAACAACCTTTGCCTGGCCAGCTAGTAACATTATATTTTCTAGTAACTTGTATCATAAACATACAAAACATTTGCAAACGTTTGAGTTAACATCGGTTTTCAATATCACACTTACATTTTTTTTTCTTCAATTTTTTTTGCGGTTTTTGTAAAAATGACATGCCAAACCCATCATACCTTATACTAATTACTGCTAACACTAGAACATAACAAAAATGTATAATTGTGAGTAATAGTTAAATTACTAACCTAAAAAGACACTTATACTGAGGAAGAGAAGCCTCTTGACATCTTCGATTTGAGGTTTGATAAAACCATTTGGATTAGATCGACATCCAAAATATTTGCGTTAAATTCTTTCAACACAGCATGTCTATCTTTTTCATTCTTAACACTTCATCAACAAATAGTAAACATCTTCAGTTTTGTTGCATACATCAAATAAACCCCCTTTTTTAAATCTATTTTCTTTTATTAATTTTAAACTATTTTGAATTAGAGACGTATCGCGAGATTTTTAAGGCTAAAAAATATAACGTAAACATAAGTCTCAACAAAATGTTAGAAATACGTGGTCGGTCACAAACCAAAAATTCGTAACCACATTATTGTCTCTCCGAATTCCTGAACAAATGACTAAGAGTAAGGCACGCGCCGGTTGGCCGCTGAATCACGCGGTATTTTAAAATTATTTTAGTAAGTATTGCTACAGGTTATTTTTTTTAAATTAAGTAGTTTAATAAAATAAATTATCTCAAACGCAGACAATATGAAAGTTTTGATTCTTTTTGATGTTTTTAATACTTGTACTTGCCTATAAAATTCTTCCCATACGATGAGCCGCAATGATATCTGTAAATTGAAATAAATCACAAGTTAAATCGATATTCATATTATCAAACAATAATGTTAAAGTAAGTAAAGTTACAGCCTATGCAAGTCCCACTGCTGGGCACAGGTCTCCTCTCATGTCTGTGAGGGTTTTAAAGGAAGTGACCGCTGCGCTGCCCCAATGCGTGTGGGCGAATTTCACGTCTTCGAAATATTTTTTTCTTATTTCTCAGACATACAGGTTTCCTCCACCGCCGAGCACGTGATAAGTTAGCATTTAAAATTGCATTTAACAATTTCATTGGTGCCGGCGGAGATCGAACCCGGGTTGCCCGCGTACTGTGAAATTTACAGCCCCTACCACGGCTCAGCGATAATGTAGAATGACAGAATACAATAATGATTTAGACTATAAGTTCCAAGGAGACACCAACTAAATTAATACTTTCAAAAATCTCTTTTCTGTAACAGTCTTATATAGCTACAATCATCATCATCATCATCATTACAGCCCTTCACAAGTCCACTGCTGAACATAGGCCTCCCCCAAAGAATGCCACAAAGCACGGTCCTGAGCCACCTGCATCCATCGACTTCCTGCAAATCTTACCAGGTCGTCACTCCATCTAGTGGGGGGACGCCCTACACTTCGCCTGCCGGTACGAGGCTGCCACTCGAGAACCTTTCTTCCCCATCGGTTGTCGGTTCTTCGAGCTATATGGCCGGCCCATTGCCACTTCAGCTTACTAATCCGTTGGGCTATGTCGGTCACTCTGGTTCTACTGCGGATATCCTCATTTCTGAGTTTATCACGCAGAGAAACTCCGAGCATAGCCCTCTCCATAGCTCGCTGAGCGACCTTGAGCTTCCTCATCCGGCCAGCAGTGAAGGACCACGTCTCAGTTCCGTATGTCATCACTGGCAACACGCACTGGGTGTACAGTCTCGTTTTCAAGTTTTGAGGTATACCTGACGAGAAGATGTGCCGTAATTTCCCGAACGCTGCCCAACCGAGTTGAATCCGTCGATTGACCTCTCGGTCGAAGTTGGACTTACCTAGTCGGACTATTTGTCCCAGGTAAACATACTCGTCAACAACTTCGAGCTTAGTGTTCCCAACAACTACCGGCATAGGTGTGACATGGACATTAAACATGATCTTTGTTTTGTCCATGTTCATCTTAAGACCTATCCGTTGGGAAACACTATTGAGGTCATTGAGCATAGTGCTTAGGTCCTCCAGCGATTCTGCCATAAGAACTATATCGTCGGCAAATCGAAGGTGAGTGATGTACTCGCCATTGATGTTGATACCGTATCCTTTCCAGTCCAGAAGCTATATAGCTACAATACAAATAGAAATATATTACAATAAATCGATTACTTTACAAACTGAACATTAATATATAATTAATTTATTTACGTTTTTATAAATAAAACTCCTTGATACAAAGGGCAGACTTATTGCCTTTAGCACGCTCTCCCAGTCTTTATTACAAGACTTCATCTTTATAGCACCGATAATGTTCACAACTGGACAGCTTTTCCCGTTAAAGAGATGATTTGCATTAATTATATTGTATTATTATATTAATTATACATTAACATAAATTGCCAAGCGTGGTCGGCAAGCCGATTGCTAAACGCTGAATCAGAAGTCTCACTCCCCTTACGCTACTAAACGTCGTCGGTCTGGGTCTTTTAAGTCTGACGTAAGCGAGATGGTAATACCACCATTATCGGAAGCTATAAGATCTCTCTGATATTCCCCACTGTCAGTTCTTACACGAAAGGGGGTAATGGGAAGTGCAACCACGGAACGAAATGGCGTGACGGGTTTTCTTAAGGCGTCACCATCATCATTATATCTACCTATCTTCTGAATCTGGCATATTGGTAGGGGCGTTTTTTACTCCAGAAATTTCTTTAGCATCGACGTTTAACGTCAGCTATATCGCGTTTATTTACGCTGGTTTTAATCGATTTTTGTTTGTGCTATGCAAGAGAGACTGCACTCACATTTAAACTATTACACTCCCGTATCTTTTTGGAGGGTAGAACATAAAACGAAAACAACGGCTTGTTATACAGCAATCTAAAAACTTGCACGATCAAAAACTTATACTTTAGTATGAAACATAAAAATTTGCTTTGTATTTTGCTATTGATATAAAAACAAATGGTGCATGGTGTTTATTGACAGATAACGCATATTTAACGGTGCGGTGGTGAAACCGGAACGAAGTGCTCATTTTACATGTTTTTGTTTTGTGAAAGCTAAGGTTTCACTCGTTTGCAACGCTCGTGAACTTAGCCCATTGCTGGGGCTACCAACTACAAAGTAGTAAAACTAGGACTCGGATTAGAGAACAAAAGGAACTGAGAACTAGGATATCGATTTCAAGCCAGTACATATATTTATGAATATTGCTTATGTAGGCTATTTTTGTATGATTTTTAAATTTTATACAATTTTATGTTGTATTTGGGATGACTGCAGTCAGTTTTAAAGAAAAACATTATAAGGAAATGTGTCTGAAAAATTAAAAAAAGCATAAAGAAAACATTTGAAGTCCGCCAATATGCATTGGTGCAGCGATGTGCACACTTCATAAAACCCTTTCAGAAATGAGAGGAGACCTGTGCCCAGGTGAAGTGGAAAGTATATATAGGCTGTAACTTTTTCGAGTATTATTCGATGACATTACAAAAATGCAATGTTTAATGGTAAAGATAAGAATATGTTACTCGTATGCATCTATTGTAGTTCTAGTACGAAATTAAAGTATACTGTATAGCATAATGCATTATAACAGATTTAATAAAATGAAAAAAAAATCGTCTTTTCTCTTTAGATACAAGTGCATGAGAAATGATGTCAAGACATCTTCTATGTTATCGCGCAAGTTTTCAGCACAGATGTTTGATAACCATATCATATTAACGAGGTTAAATCATCCGTAAAGAAACAATCAGCGTCAGAACAAACAGAAAGGATTACTTGTAATATTAATGATTTTGTTTATAAAATAAGGATGACAAGCGAGCACAGACAGAGAACCGGAGACCCTTTTTACTGGCAAAGAGGCATTCCATCTTAGTCCTCACGGATGACAACGCATCTGCATCTTGAGTCTTTATTGAGGATAGATGTAGATATCTATGAGTCACAGTAACCACTTACCATCAGGTGGACTGTGTGCTCGTTTGTCACCCGATCTTATAAAAAAAAATACATTCTACCTGATGGTAAGTGACATCAAGTAGACATCTATACCTATCCTCGATTAAGAATCAAAACGCAATATGCTGCCTCCCCTCAGGACTAAAATGGAACGCTTCATATCCAAAAAAGATCGTCTTCGATTCTCTACACTCACCATACGAAACACAGCAGCATTGAGCTGGTGTTTTACGCTGGTATTCTGTGATAGCGTGGTCCTTCCCCGGTCGAGCCGACTATTCGTACTACAGCCATATTATAGCTGCAGCATGGATCTACCTTCCATCTAAAAAATCATGTTGATGTAAATTGCTATTATGTAACAAACTGTTGCCTAACTTTTTTACTTATGTTAATAAAATTATTGCACCTACTTGTGCTTAGCTAAAGCAAAGGGTTAATTTGGCCCGAATTGTGTTTAAACCTTTTCTCAATAACATCAGACCATGAAATCCACTTTAAAGGTTTGTTTCCTTATCGCCGCAACTCAGCAGGCGGTAATTCTACCTTGCCCTTTCTATATCGAAAAAAAAATATAAAATATGGCGACCCTACCCGATACTATTCTTAAAGTACGTGCCAATTCCACGCACATGATGACAATGAATCTTGTGATTTGTAGTTGTTTAAAAGATAATAGGAGTTTAAAACCCCTGCTGTAAGGTCGAAAATCTAATAACGTGCCTGATAAATATGCGCATTTAGTTCTTGTTCAGGTTCATTACTGTCACTATAACGAAAGTCGAGACGGTCGAGACATGACAAGTCAAATAGGTGAAATTTTTATGTTACATTGACAATATACCTTAAGTCTATAACAAAACATCTAAACTAAATTCATTATTCAACTAATTAACAAGGAATCCAGCGGCGATAATAATATGGTAAAGAAACTTGTCACACACTTTTTGTTGTACGATATAAGTGGCACTACAAATCGAAGAACTTTAGGAGTAATCGATATATAACGTGAGAGGAGTGTAGGACAGCCTTCAACTAGAACATTTTTTTTTATTAAACATGAAGCGACAAACAAGCTTACTATCCACCTGATGGTAAGTGGCTGGCCAAATAAAACTTCTGATGCGATGTCACCACTAAGAACTAAGATAGAATGCCTCAGTCTGTAACTATACTAGTTCTCTATACCTTTTAGAGCGGAACACAGCAGTGTAAGTAAGCGGCAGAAATTGGTGGGTATGAGGGTGGTACTTACCCAGTCGGACTCCAAAGTAGAAAAAGTCCTACCTCTTGGTAGTGGTCAAAATGTGTGACGTGTGCCATCTTTGCCTTAAATTAAGTCTTACTCTAAACTTATTTGTAAAGCGTTCAGTGAGGTGTGCGACGTTCAATCGTTTTTTTTTTATAGGTTAAGGGTGACACACGAGCACACAGTGGTTGCTGTGGCCCATAAACTTCTAAATCCTTGATTACATATCAAAATGTAGTTGCGTTGTCACCTGTGAGGACTAAGATGGAATACCTCATTTCCAGTAAAAAGGGTCACCGGTTATCTAGTCACCAAACGAAACACAGCAGCGTTAGGCTGCTATTTTACGCAGGTATTCTGTGAGAGCGTGGTCCTTCCCCGGTAGGGTTGACCCATTCATGCTACAAGTTTATACTAATATAGCTGCAGTATATGGCTGTACCACGTGGTAACCAGGCCACGAAGGTGCCAAATATGTAGCTGTATCCTGCAAGCCGAATAGCGGTCTGAAATTGCTGTGTTTAGTATTGTAAGTGCAGAGAATCGAAGACAATTTTTTACAGTTGACGGGGCATTCCATCTTAGTCC